TCCCTAGTATATGATTTATTTTCACAGTATAAAGGTCTACAAGTTCCAGGCCCTGTTGAGAAATAACAAATAAAGTGCTTTTATTGATTTTGCTGGACAGGAATAGTCGGAATAATAAAAGGAACATGAGCTCCTGTTTTGTTATTTATTTGAATGATCATGCATATATTATTAATATAAAGTAGCTTTGAATTTATGCCCCTGATTTTATCATGATTCATGATTCAGACCACCCACGGGCTTATTTTTAGGACAGTGCTAGACCTTTACAGATGGCATGCACAGTCAGTAGCTACCCGGCCTTTCCTTCTTGGCCCTGAGTGAGCTCCAGGGCCTCTTTCTCACAAAGCAATTCACCAGGGTCTATTTGAACAAGTCGATCCCTGAGAGCCAAAAAGCTTTCCCGAGGACTAGGATAGCTCCTCACTGGCTACTTTCTGTTAGCCTCTGCCTTTCTATCGCACAGTGATCTAAATGGTAATGACTCAAAGGAGAAGCAAGGTCTAGAATTACCACGTGTTAATTGTGGCTTTGCAAAAGTTTAAATTCTTAGTCTTGGAAAATTAACAATATATGTTTGACTGCATCAAGACACCCTACCTTTTGACCTCAGAAAATGATAGACTAGTTGTTTAGTTACTGCTTTATAGTAGACAGCTAAGGATTTCAGACTCAAAATTGGTTTGGGAAACTTAAGATACTAAAGGGAAACTGTGTTAAGACATGTGTATAAATTCATTACAACTCAGAGTGCTTTTCATCTAGTAACAGCAGATAAAATATTCTATTGTGGATTTTGTTTTGATGACAAATACATGCCAATACGATTATTTGCCTATTGGGTGGATAAGAAGTTAAGAGTTTTCATCTGTGTTTTTATCTCTGAAGTTCATGCCTGCCCAGAAGGAAAAGAATTCTTTGACTGTAGATTTCCTGACCCCGAGTTACCAGCTGGTGGTATAAATTGTGAGACTACCTGTGCAAACCTGGCCATGAACTTCACTTGCGCCCCATCCTCCCCCTGTATAAGTGGCTGTGTCTGTGCTCCAGGGTAAGCCTGTTTTCCTTGATAATACAGATCATGCCGAATGTCTGCATGCTAGCAAGGCACACCCTTTCTCTTTCCCTGTGATTTTCTGATTGTGACTTGAGCAAAACTTTATAGAGAAAATTGATTTTCCATTCAATAGTTCAGACACATTTTGTTTAATGACCTTGATTCTGATCCCACAGTCTCACGGCACTCTTCCCACTTCCTCCCTCTCTCTACCACTTTCTTCCTTCCTTCCTTCTTTCTTAGCCTATTGGTCTCCTTAGTTTTAGCCCTGGTCAAAGGCTGCCATTTTGATTTTGTAT